TCATCAGAACACATCCTGAAATATGCCTGATAATTAACTGACTAGACCTACTGTTTATTTCCAAACTCCCCCTGTGGCTTCCCCTTTCCCTTAAAAATCCTTCTGTAGACGGGTTGGACAGAAAGAGTATATTTCTGATCCAGAGATCCACTCTTTCCCCAAGACTGCCATTTTTATCTTATCAGCTCTCATCTCTGGTGAATTGGCTGTCCAGTGGTGAGCAACTGATTTTGTAAAGTAACTTTGCTTTGGCCCTATTAGTCCTTTCTATTTACTTGTTTCCTCTGTTTGGAATATATATTCCTTGCCTGCCTCTCCACTGTATCTTGGAATTAAGTTACTTGTTTTTTCTTACATAGTTTTACAGCTAAGAAAGTTTGCCTTGAGTGTCAGATGAGATTATGGACTATATGGACTTTTAAATTAGTGTTCTACTGCATTTAGAATTTAGGACTCCTGGGTTGGTATGATTGTATGTTATATGTGAGAAGAGCACAAGTTTTGGGAAGACAGGGGGTGGAATATTATGAATGAAAGAGAAACCCACTGCTGAAACTCATGCAGATATGAAAACTCTGATGTCTAACTATTAAGGATCAAGAGGCCATGGGTGGACAGTTAATCTAATTATGGTGTCTGAAAGGAGGGTCTGATGGGAGGTCTTTAGGTCTTCAGATCAAACCTAGCAAGAATTTATTAGTTGAAGCTAGAGAATGCTCTACTATGTCTCTATCCTTTGGAAGATCTCTAATCACACATTTTTAATTTTCAGATGCAAATATATATTGAAAGGTAGTGTTTTACATCATCAAAGAGTTTTGGTATTTCAAGTGTTAAGAAGTCTTTAACATAGTCCCTCAAACTGTGTTATAGTTTTAGAGCATGAGGAGAGAAATAGAGTTTTAGCAGGAAGCTACTATTGAGACATGTTAGAGAAATATAGAATCAACATCTATAGGCTTTTGTTATTAAAATGCTGCCTCCTGTATGGGAATCATGAGATTATCTCAGTCATTATTTTGGAAATCATTTACCTCTCCAACTATAGTAACTGTCACATCATTTATAGTATTTTTATGGGGTAACCATTTATTTCCAAAGCAAATTCTTGGAATAAATAAGCAGGCAACTTCCCTCTGTGAACTGGAAGCCTCTATAAAAACCTCAATTGTAATTCCATCTCTAACTTTTATCAATCAAAATGTCCCCTTTCTTGGGATGCACCTGCTTCATCTGGGACCTAAGGAGACGCCATGAAAATATGAATATTAAATCCCATGTGGAGCTGGTGGATGAACCATAAAGTTCCCAGGTGGCAATATGCCTGCAGAGGCACCACCCCCTATCACATAAAAGGGGCCAGCACACGAGTGAGTCTCTCTTTCTCTCTCTGTATGTGTCTCTCTCTTTGTCTCTGTCTCTTTTTCACTCTGAAGGTGTTGTTCAGATGCCCTTTCTCTCTCCCTTTCTTTTTTTTATGATTTATTTGACAGATAGAGTTAGACATGAGAGAGAGAGACAGAGAAAAAGGTCTTCCTTCCATTGGTTCACCCCCCAAATGGCCTCCACGGCCGGCACTGCACCAATCAGAAGCCAGGAGCCAGGTGCTTCCTCCTGGTCTTCTATGTGGGTGCAGGGCTCCAAGCACTTGGGCCATCCTCCAGTGCCCTCCCGGGCCACAGCAGAGAGCTGGACTGGAAGAAGAGCAACCAGGACTAGAACCCGGCACCCATATGGGATGCCAGTGCTGCAGGTGGAGGATTAACCAAGTGAGCCACGGCACCGGCCCCTATCTCTCCCTTTCCATTGGCCCACTACCCACTGTGATGGATATTCTTCTGTGTGGGGCAACCCATGCACACATTTATATATATTTACTTTATCAACTTTTGAATAAATTTTGTTAACATGTTTGCACCTTATATGTTTCTGAAGTTGGAATGTTTATCTTTGCACAAGACAAAGACCTGGAGTAAAAATTAATATACCCCAGCCCACATCAAGTCAATATATCATGAAAAGTTTAAGAAAATATTGCCGGCACCGTGGCTCAATAGGCTAATCCTCCACCTTGCAGCGCCGGCACACTGGGTTCTAGTCCCGGTCGGGGCACCGGATTCTGTCCCGGTTGCCCCTCTTCCAGGCCAGCTCTCTGCTGTGGCCAGGGAGTGCAGTGGAGGATGGCCCAAGTGCTTGGGCCCTGCACCCCACGGGAGACCAGGGTAAGTACCTGGTTCCTGCCATCGGGTCAGTGCGGTGCGCTGGCCACAGCGCGCCAGCCGTGGCGGCCATTGGAGGGTGAACCAATGGCAAAAGGAAGACCTTTGTCTCTCTCTCTCACTATCCACTCTGCCTGTCAAAAAAATTATATTTTTCTGTTCATATTATGTAAAAAACAAATATTTATAGCACTAGATTTGAAGTATGGAACCCATACAAAGTTCTTGACAGGAAGGTGGAGACCTGCTTGTGATGGAATGACATCTAGCACAGTGCAAGTTCTAGGTTAGGCACTTGCTAAATCCTTTATACATGACAATGAATTGAATGCTCCTACTTTATTCCTAATTTGGATACATTCAAATTAAGAATTTTTAGTAGGAAGGCACTTATTTTAATTGGTAATTTTAACTGCCAAAAACAAAAAGTTATAGGCTTTGACATTTCCAGTTGGTTTTGGGTCAGAGAGTGATGCTAGAAATACTGACTCCATATATACAATTTTACTAAATAACCATGATTTAAACTCAATAATTTAAAACATTAGGATATTATTTTAAAAAGTAGATAATTTCTGAATGGTAAAATTTGACCATAAGTAAAATAGAGGACATTGGTTCAAGATTAAAGGTTTACCATATGTTCTCTCTTTTTTTGAAGACTCAACTAAAATTATGCTAAAAATATGAAAATAGAGAACTCCTAGCCTTTACAAAAACAAGAGAGATTTCTTTAGTTGGTGAAGTATTCAATTCATGTCTTCAAGTCAGTCAAAGAAAGAAAAATGACTGATAATGTAGAGCAGAGAAGTCATAAAGTAGGCCAAGATTTCTTAGCATTATGGTAATTTTGGCCCAGATAATTCTTTGTAGTGAGGGGACTGTCTCATCTTTTAATTAAGAGAAACAATGTAGAAATAATCCTAGAATCATGCTAGTACATATTCTTTTCTACACATGCATCAACAGTGAAATAATTCTTAACAAAGGTGTCAAAGCATACAGTGGAGAAAGGACACACTAAATACTAATGGAGAAATTGCATATTCATATGTAGAAGAGTGAAAAGTGACTCCTATTTCCCACTTTATGCCAAAAAATCAGCTAAAAATGGATCAAAGATCTAAACAGAAAATCTGAAACCATGAAAAATCTAGAAGAAAACATAGGGAAACACTTCAAGACATTGATATATGCAAAATCTTTTTGGGTAAGACCCCAAAAGTTCAGGCAACAAAAGAAAAACATAGGCAAATGAGATTATACAAACTAAGAACAATCTGTACAAGGAAAATGAGCGAGTGGAGAGACAACCTACACACTGGGATAAAATTTTTGAAATACTACTATGACAAAGGATTAATATCCTGAATACATAAGGAACTAAAATACTCAATAGCAACAAAACCCAAATAATCCATTAAAATGGTATTAATAGAGCCTCTTCTAAAGGAGAAATTCAAATGTCCAACCAATACATAAAAAAATTTCAATATCATTACCTATCAGAAAAATGCAAATCAAAACTATGTTTAGATATCTCAATCCATTTAGACTATTATCAAAAAGACCAAAAATAAATGCTGGTGAGGATTTGTGGAAAACAAAAGTCATACACCATCGGTAGGAATGGAAGTTAGTACAGACATTATGGAAAACAGTATAGTGGAGGTTCCTCAAAGGACTACTATATATTATGTCTATCCCATTTCTAGGCATATATCAAAGGAAATAAAATCAACATATCAAAGAGATACATATACTCCCACGGCTTTTGCTGTATTATTAACAATAGCCAAGATATGGAATCATATAGGTTTCCATCAACAGATGAATAAATAAAGAAAATGTGGTCTATATAAACAACAGACTATTAGAAAGAGTGATATCCAATCATTTGCAATAAAATGGGGGGACTGGGAGGACTGGAGGGTCTTACTGTGTTAGGTGAATCAGACTCAGAAAGACAAGTACTGCATGTTCTATCTCATGCATCAAAGGTTAAAGAGTCTATTTGAACACAGAATAGTGGTTACTAGACTGGTGGCAAGGGACACTAGAGAGGATGCACAATAGGTAACAAAACACAGATAGAGGGAATAAGTTCCAATGTGGTACAGCACAGTAGGTTGTCTGGGTTCCCAATAACTTATGAGCTACTTTATAAACAAATAAAAGAAAGGAGCTCAAAGGCTCCAAACACAAAGAAATGATAAGGACAGGGAAATGTCAATTATCCTGATTTGATCAATGCACATTGCATACATTTATTGAGATATTACACTGTATCCTGTAAAGAAGTACTATTATTGTTAAGAAATTTTTTAAAAATTTAAAAAATAGGAAATGCTAGCTAGCCTGATATGATCAGTATCATTGCATGCATGTATGGAATTGTCATATTGTACTCTATAAACAGGTACAGCCAAAAAATAGATTCACACAATTGTAAAATGTATTCCTATAGCTGGTAATTAAATTAAAACTATTAGTTTATAAAGAAAGTTTTAAAAGTAAGGCAGCATTTATTTCAGCCAACATTTTCATCAAGAGCTAATCAGTTGCCCACTCTAATCTACTATACACATTTAATAGTGCACAACATGATTCTAAATATTTTGCATTAATTAAGTCATTTAATCTTCACCTTGAATACTCTAGTATCTCCATTTTACAGAAAAAGAACTTAAGGTGCTGGGAGATTAAATTATTAAAATGCTCACCTTCACAGTGCAGCTGAAATACATATTTAAAAAAATTAAGAATTTCTATCATTCTTACCATTCTTTCAATCTGATGACTCCTTTCTCTAAATTCTCTTGAGGATCTTATGCCATAATTTTCTTTGTATTTGATATTTGTGACTTTAAAAGAGGCAAGGTAATAGAATGACTTATCATCTGAAAGGTAAAATAAATAAAAGGTCCATGGTTAAATGTGATCAGTTCCTTGTCTCCCACTTCTTTACCCATCTCAGAAAAATAGGCTACCATTTTACAGTTTATTTCCACTTAGTATAAAAATAATTGTAGACTTTTTCATTGTGACATGTTTAACACCATGGGATATTAGTCAATAATGACAATAAATAGAACTAATGTAATTTATGAGAGGGCTTCAAAAAGTTTATGACAAGATTGCATTAAAAGATAAAAAAGGGGGGGGCTGGTGTTATGGTACAGCCCTGCTTATGACTGTGTTTTCCATAAAATAGGATTTCTATGAGTTTTTTGAAGAGCTCCTAATAATACAAGGTGAATGAGCCCTGCAACTCATATTTTTATGTACAACAGAGAATCTCAAGGTACTAAGTCATAAAGTACTTGGACAATAGAAATGTGACCTGGATACTTACCCTCAACAACAAAATGAGTAACAATTCCAATTGCAATTCCTATGATTGCTACAATTGCCAGTGTGAATAGAGCTAACCGTATAGGGTCCCAAAATTGCTGTCTTCTTTGATATTCAACTCGTGGGTATTCAGCTTCTGAAATTTCAACTTGTCTGTGATAATAGAAAGAAAAACAATAATAAGACATTAAAAGTTCACTATGGCTCTGCTTTATGTACTCTTGCTATGTTCCTCTATGAAAAGAGTTTACATTGCTAATTAACAGTGGGATACCTAAATCTTGAAAAGAACACTATGTTTTTTTAAAGATTTATTTTATTTATTTGAAAGTTAGAGTTACAAAAAGAGAAAAGGAGAGGCAGAGAGAGAGAAGTCTTCCATCTGCTGGTTCACTCCCCAATTGGCCACAATGGCTGGAGCTGTGGCGATTTGAAGCCAGGAGCCAGGAGCTTCCTCTGGGTCTCCCACGTGGATGCAGGGGCCCAAGAAGTTGGGCCATCTTCTGCTGCTTTCCCAGGCCATAGCAGAGAGCTGGATCATAGTGGAGCAGCCGGGACTAGAACCAGCGTCCATATGGGATGCTGGCACTGCAGGCGGTGGCTTTACCTGCTACACCAGAGTGCCTGCCCCAAGAACACTGTTTTAATTTGCATACCTTCCCCTATTAAATACAGTACAAATTTCAGTTAAAGGTCTACCGATGTTGGTGCTTCAGTGAGGATTTCCTCCCTCTGCATTTTGTCTGGCATAATGTCAATTGAAATTTTAGCAAAATACAAAGATTCACTTAAATAAAGATAACTTACAGATAACATGTTTATGTCACTAAGATAAAGAACTTTTTAATAGTTCAGTTTCAAAGTATTCTCACCAGTTTTACTTAATTAAAAATAAAAATTTCAATGTGTATTTTAAAAAAAAAAACCTTTTGAAGAACTGATTATGAATCTGCATTGTATTAAACTCCCCAGTGAAATCACAGATGGCGAATTGTCCTTGATAAAGCTCCAGTACAAAGGCTCACTTGGCAGCTGGTGCTGCCGCTCAATAGGCTAATCCTCCGCCTTGCGGCGCCGGCACACTGGGTTCTAGTCCCGGTCGGGGCGCCGGATTCTGTCCCGGTTACCCCTCTTCCAGGCCAGCTCTCTGCTGTGGCCAGGGAGTGCAGTGGAGGATGTCCCAAGTGTTTGGGCCCCTGCATCCACATGGAAGACCAGGGAGAAGCACCTGGCTCCTGGCTTTGGATTGGTGCAGCGGCAGCCATAGCGGCCATTTGGGGAGTGAACAGGCAGAAGGAAGACCTTCTGTCTCTCTCTCTCACTGTCTATAACTCTATCTGTCAAATAAATAATAAAAAATTTATTTATTTATTGAAAAAGCAGAGTGATAGAGAGAGAGGGAGAGACAGAGTGAGAAAGAGACCTTGAATTTGCTGGTTAGCTCCCCAAGTAGCTGCAACAGCCCATACTGGGCCAGGCTGAAGCCAGGAGCCAGGAATACATCCAGATTTCCCATGTAGGTAACAAAGACCACATGGGCCCAACCACGTGGAAAATCATCTACTTTTTTTTCCCCAGGCAAATTACCAGGTTGCTAGATCAGGAACAAAGCAGTTGGAACTCCAACTTGCAGTCTCATATTAGATGCTAGAATCACCAAGTGCTAACTTAACAACACTGTGCCACACCACTGCGCCCCTATTTCATGATTTTTAAAAAATTAAATTCAGAATCCATGAATTTCTTCAAGAAAACAATACATTGTGACACTTCTCTATCTAAACTTAATACCTAGTGCAAACTCTTAAGATAAATATCTTCGCTATTTGAATGCATGCATTAGCAGATCATGAACGAAGATTTAAATCTAGATCATAGCTCCAGAATAACTGTATACAAAGCCTAATTAAAGAGAAAGGTATTACTTTAATACATAACAAGCAAGTTTTTCATAAGCATGCACCATATTTTAGGAACAAATAGGCAGGTACTAGATATACAATGAATAAAAATCAATACTCGGTCTAAAATTGTGCACTGGAAAATAGTTGCTATGCCGAATTTTGTTATGTGAACTTCATCACAGTAAAAATAATTTTAAAACTACAACGATAACAATACATTGTCTCTGATATCATGATGGTTGTATAGAGAGACTGAGAAAACTCGCACATCAACATGCTTACAGTATGAAAAGATCAATGGAGAAGAGTAGATAAGATGTGATTGAAAATAGGAAGGTATGAATCTGGTGAGGGGAGGGGGATTCCTTGAAAAGAGTAAATAGGCTTTATGGGAGTAACACTTATGCTGAGAAGAAGCCGATCATGGTTGTTTGCAAGTCATTTCCTGGCCAATGGATACTGTGGGAAGTGCCTACACTGGAAAACAATTTGATGCATTGGCAGAACTGACCATTGAAAACATGGTCATGGAGAAACAGTAAAGCAATGGACGGCTCCTCACTTACACTCTAGGTAGTAAAGGGGTGGCTTTGTGGTAGAGAGGGTTAAGCCAGTTTGATAAATCATTCATTGTTTCACAGTCTAATTTAGTCCAGCCGCCGACACAGTGATTTTTTCTAGGGCACATCTTCCTGCAGTGAGACCATGGCAATACTGGAAAACAGGAACCAGCAATTCTAATGATGGAGAGCAGTAATGGACATCATCCATACAGCTAGAGGTGTCCCACGCTCATCTCCACAGAAAAGAACAAAACTGCAATTAGGTAACTATATTTTTAGAACAGTGTCTGAGAGCAAACAATGGATTTCAGCAGGTTGGTGACTGGGATTGGAGTTGCACTAGAAGGGAAAGCAGGGGCCTGCACTGTGGCGTAGCGGGTAAAGCCGCTTCCTGCAGTGCTGGCATCCCATATGGGAGACAATTCAAATCCCGTCTGCTCCACTTCCGATCCAGCTCTCTGCTGTGGCCTGGGAAAGAGGTAGAAAATGTCCCAAGTCCTTGGGCCCCTGCACAGGCATGAGAAGACCCAAAAGAAGATCCTGGTTCCTGGCTTCAGATTGGCGCAGATCTAGCCGTTGTGGCCAGTTGGGGAGTGAACCAGCGGATGGTTCTCTCTCTCTCTCTGTCTCTCTCTCTCTGCCTCTCCTTTTCTCTCTGTGTAACTTTGACTTTCAAATAAATAAATAACTAAATAAATAAATAACAAAAAGAAGGGAAAGTAGCAGCCTGCAGGTGTGACCCCCTAGCTCCCAGATAGTGGCTCAGAACAAAAAAGTCCACCTCATTGCAAAGAAAAAGTAAACAAGAGATCCTTAGCATCCCCCATTACCATTCCTGACACCTGCAGTCTTAGCAAAGATGGGAGAGCCCAACAATCCTCACAGAACTTGAGCCAAATTTAGGAAGCTGGCTGGAATCTACACAGTTGCATTGCTAGAGAGAAGGAACCCTTATTGTACCTGTGACCTCCTCCCTGGGACTCAAACTACTATGGCACAGCACCACCTTGAGACGGTCCATCTAAAGGACATCCTAGGGGCCAGTAGCATTGCACATGCTCACCCCTGAGACCCTGCCATAATCCCACCGTGTTCACACAAATGGTTTCAATGTCACAACCCCAACGAGACACAAACAGTGTAGTTATGGCTCCAGCACCCACACCTGCATGGTACCCTGCACTGTAAGGAACTGGTGGTCCAGCACAGCAAGCAGACCGTCCTCATGATGGCAGGGACCAGCATGTGTGCTCCCCAAGGGCTGAGGAGTCTGTCGGGTGGTTTCTGTCCCAGTGATGCTGCCCTCTATCACCAGGAGCCCTACCATATATACAGGTACCCCAAAAGTCTCAGGACCAGTGTGCTTGGCAGGGCCTATCCCCAGAAATGTCACATAATTGCTTCCATACACACTTCCCAGCTAGCCCCACTGAGGCGAAATGTAAGCACCACTGATGCTCAAGAAATCACATAGAGACTATGCTAACCTACCCACCCAGATCCAAAGCAAAAATTCTATTCAATCTACACAGCATCACCCTCCTGTAGGAAAAAGTCTTGCCCTAAAAAGCTACTCCATAAAATTGGAAGAGATGATTTCCACCAAAATGTACAGATATCAATGTCGTTGCATAAGGAGAAAAAAAAAGGAGGAACTGGAGTTGTGGTGCCACAGTCTAACCTGCTGCTTACAATGCCAGCATATCATTCAAGAGTGCTGGATCCAGTCTCAGCTGTTCCACTTCTGATCCAGTTCCCTGCCAATGCACTTGGGAAAGCAGTAGAAGATGACCCCAGTACATGAGCCCCTGCTATCCACGTGGGAGACCCAGATGGAGTTCCAGGCTCCTGGTTTTGGCTGCACCCAGTACCAGCCATTGTGGCCATTTGGGGATTGAACCATTGAACCCGTGGTTGGAAAAAATCTCTCTCTCTCTCTCTCTCTCTCTCTCTCTCTCTCTCTCTGTGTGTGTATGTGTTTGTATTTTCCTCCCTCTGTGTCAATCTACCTTTCAAGTAAATAAAATGTCTTTAAAAGGATCAAGAAACCTTGGCACCTCCAAAGGAACACAATTACTTGATCTCTCTTTCCCTCTTTGTATCACTCTACCTTTCAAATTTCTCAATCAAGCTTCCATAAATGAAACCAGCCATATAGTTTGTCCATAAAGAACTGAAGTTCCTGGAAATTTCATAATGTAGTAATTTTTACATTATTAACTAAAGGCATATGGTGCTTTCAAAATATTTTTAAAGACAAAGCAACATAAAGAAGGCAGAAGTAGCTAAAGCCAGAATGGAAGGTGAATGTCTAAGGACTTTCCATTAAACTCTCATAAAATTGCCTTGAGTAGAGGAACATATGATAGTCCAGTGGCTTTGAAACATTTTGAAAGTGGTACAACTCTTTAAAGCAGTGAAACCCCCCTAAATTAATACTTATATGTAATAAAATTCACATTTAAACCAGTTGTGTGGGCATGGAGAGGGTACCCAGAACTCTACTCGTATGTCTTCTCTCTTGGGGGGCCTGAGACACATTTGCAAAGGTTAACTGTTAAGTTTCACACCGCCATGAGACTCTTCTGTGTAGTCCTGTGTATGCTCCACAGTGGAGCCCTTGGCAGCCTGATTTCTCACAGTCTTTGCTCATCTCTCACATTCACTTCTTTGGGCTTTCCCCACC